CAAAGTCCAATGAGATTGTCAAGATAATTACAGGAATATGGGTGGGATTTACTCACAGGAGCATGGGTGACTTAAAGGCAGCTTCATCACTGAAAAGCCCACTCCAGCTTGGCTGAGAGCTGGAACCATGGAGCTCTCTGCAGGTCTCAGGCTGCCTGACATGTCAGCATCTCTTCCAGGCAGCTCTGTCGGTCTGGTCTCCATAGCAGTCCCTACTGCTTATATAAGTTTGGAGAGGGAGGGGCCTACTGCATCTGGTCAGTTTCAGGGACTTCCTGGGACTTTTGAATTGTTGACTTCCTGAGACTTAAAGATCTTCCCCTTTAGAATATCCTACGCCTTAGAGAGCTTCCCCTCAGGATGGAAATGTTTTTTCTCAGAGGAATTGCTACATACCAGGTGCACAAAAGAACAAAGTGCTGGGGGGGGCACTGAGATAAAAGGTCTCATGGGAATTAAGGCACAGATCTATTAACTTCAATTTTGGAATGAGTATGTGTCCATGTCTCTAAATGTTTCTAATACAGGAAAAAGATCCACCAAATGCTTGTGCCACGCTCCACCAGCTATCTTTCTTAGTGACCTCCGGTAGCCTTCGTTCTCTCCGTCCCCGAAGGCCTACCTCTTCGTGGTCTCTCCTCTGTGCAGTGCCCCTGTAATGTGCACAGGGCTGTGAGGCACACAGTGGAGGCCACTGGGGTTGGCATCATCAAGCAAGCACCTTCTCCTGCTTGTTCTTCCCAGATGAATGTTGAAGGAAACAAGAGGGACCACTGTTGGTGGGGTCCCATGTGGGGCAGCAGTGTCCTTGAATTCTGACCAGGGTCCTGAGTGCCAGAGTGCTGCTGGGTGTTTACTCAATGACTGTATAAGAGAACCAAGGGCTCCCCAGACTTCTGGACACACCATTCTGAGAGCCTTACCACTAGGAGGAAGGAGTCTTGCTGTTTGAGATGTCCCATGAACCTTCAGGTTCATTCCAGAACTGAAAACTCATGCCGTTTGTTGCCCTGACATTGCTAACCCGCCTGCACAGGAAAGCCACTTCCTGTCTGGCACAACTCTCGGGAGGCTTAGCAGGTGCTTTCCTAGGTGGTGGTCCCTCTGCTTCCTTATCTCCTCCACACCCACTGGGGCGAGGCCTTTCTCTCCTGTGTCAGGGAATTTAAGAAGCTATTCCCAGGCAGTGCCTGTGTTCCAACAGCTTTGTCAACCCCAGCGATTTATAGGAATTTCTATCGAGCTGTGGGGAAGAAACTGTCCCAGACAGTGGCTCTTTATTTTCCACAAATGAGGGAGAGTTGTTTGTGAACAGTCTGCGTTTTGAACTCTTTGTTCCACAGCTCGATGACAGCCGTGGTGCACTGAGTCACAGACAGACCTCTGAGACTGTGCACTCCCAAGTCTGTGACTCATGGCTTGGTGCAATAATGCTTAGCTTTTAAATAAAAAAAAAAAGCTGCTGGCGATGTCTCCAGCAGAGCTCTGTGTGCTTCACTTACTTGTCTGGTGACCCACACAGGGTGGTGGCTGGCAGAGACTGCCTGAGGCCCAGGGGCTCAGGCAGAGTAGAAGGGCTGGGCTTCCAGTTTGGGAGCAGAGTATCCCAGAGACTGCTTCCTGCGTTTAATAGTGACAGCTTTGGAGGTGTTCTTTCTTCCTGTAGGTTAATTTTGCAAAACTACAAAGTAATAAGTGGCCATAAATAAAACTTTCTGTGATGAGTGGTCAAATATGATACTCTAGCGCCCCCTCCTGTATCCAAATGGTATCAATTTTATTTTTCTTTGAAGGATTGTGTGCATGCATGCAGGAGAGAGAGAGAAAGAGAGAGAGAGAGAGAGAGAGAGAGAGAGAGAGAGAGAGAGAATATGTTGTATGCTATGGTCTGAATCACAAATGTCCCTCAAAGGCTTATGTACTAAAGGCTTGATCCCCAGGCCAAGGCCCTGTTGGGAGGTGATGGGACCGTTAAAAGGTGGGAGCTGGAGAGATGATTCAGTGGTTAAGAGTATTTGCTGTTCTTCTAGAGGGCTGGAGTTCAGTTCTCAGCACCCACATCAGGTAACTCACAACTGCCCGTAACTCTAGCTTCAGGGCATCTGATGCTCTCTTCTGGCCTCTGAGGGCACCAAAACACCACACACACACACACACACACACACACACACACACACACACACACACACACACACACACAAATTAAGAATTAAAAATTTAAAGTGGGGCTAAATGGAAAGAAAGTAGGTCACTGGAGCATGCCCTTAAAGGGGATATTGGGACCAACTCTTCCTTTTTCTCTTTGTTTCTGACCACTGTGATGTTGGCAGCCCATTCTATCATTCCCCTAGGGATGTACTGTGCTATCACTGCAGACACAAAACTATTGCAAGGGCATATACATGTATCTATAAACTTAGATGTTGTATACATTGTGTATATACAGGTTTGTGTGTGTGTGCACTGTATGCATTTATGTGTGCATGCATGTTTGTATATATCTATGTTTCTATATATATGTTGATGCATTTGTGCATATACATACCTGTATGCATGCATGTAATGTCTGTCTATCCACAAATATTTGTATGTATAATCACAAGCAATGCATGCATCTATGTATGCACGTATGCCTGTGACTTCCGTTAGAGCACAGGAAGCTCAGGTCTTGGAGTCCTCTCCTCTTCTGCCCTGCTTCTTTCAGACTGTCTTCCTAGACAGCTGTAAAGCTCACCACCCCTCCCACTTTAACTCCCCCCAGGGATTTCTGGGTCTTCTGGCCCACTTTCTTTTAGGCTGAACTCTCAGGTCCAGAACACAGACATTCCCTGGCAGCGCAAGGCCCCTCCTGGCAGTCTTCTCTTTGTGTGACAGAAGCTCAGGGTGAGCTCTGAGAACTCTGCTCACACCTACCTGTTACAGCATGACCTAGGCCTCAACATTCCACAAGCAGGCTGCAAGTTCGATAGTGCTGGTCAACACCAGTTGAGGGTGTAACACATCAAATCCCAAAAGCTTCCATGAAAGTCACTACAAGGCTAATATTAAGTTTTATTAAAAATAATTTCTGAAATAAACAGGAAACGTTCTGCACTGCCACCAGGTGGAGTGTGTTCTGAGCCCAACAGCCCAGCGGCACCCTCTGCAGGCCGAAATGTAGAAACAGAGACTGGCGTCTCTGAAGCACTGTCAGGCCCAGGGGAGCAGGCCTGGGAGAGAGGACTCCAATGAACACACAAAGAGAGTGAGCCCAGCTCCCAGGTAAGAAGAAGGGCTTAGAACATTGGAGGGCAGCTTGGGAGCTGAAAGCTAGCTTGGTATAGACACCTGAGTGTTACCTTGGAGATGGTTCTTGACCATCCAAAGTGAGAGCTTCCATAGCCTAAATCCTTCAGGGAGGATCCTCACCTTCATCTGCCCTCCTTTGTGACCCCCAGGGAGAGGAGAATTAGTCTTGATGGCAGCACACAGTTTTCACTGGATGACAGTGCCTCATGCAAGCCACACTAAGATTTCTGCCCACAGGAACCTGTTGCAGCCATCTGGAGGGAGGCAAAACCCCTGCTCCCTCTTGCCCAGCACATTCTAGATATTGGTTAGCTTGGGGGGGGCAGGGGGGACTGCTAAAGAGGCTGGAAAATCATACCAAAAGGAAGACATGGAGCGCTCCACACATTTCCCACATGCATTTCCCATCCTGCATGCAGGTGGTCTTTTAAAAAAAATATTTTATTTATTATTTTTATGTGTATGTGTGTATTGCCTGCACGTAGGTAAGTGCACTTGTGTCGTGCAATGGCCACGGAGGACAGAAGAGGCTGTCAGATTCCCTGGAACTGGAGTTATGGACAGTTGTTAGATGCCATGTGGGTGCTGGGATTCGAACCTGGGTTCTTAAGCCCTGAGCCATCTCTCCAGCCCCACAGCAGGTCGTCTTTTTATATATGTGCTCCTGGGGTCAAGGGAAGACAGGCTCTAAGCTCAACATCAAAACTTTCCACTCAGGCATGATCTTGAAGGTCCTGTCACCATACTCAGCATACCAGTCCTTCCTTTCATGACTCTACATCTGCCAGTGGCCTGGCCCCAACTCCATCACCAACTCTAAATGTGTTCTTAGGCTCTGCCTAGTGAATTTAACAAACTAGGATCCTCTCTTTAACAAGATTATTAAACTGTTCATTAGGACAATTCCAAAACACAAGTTCTGCAAGGACTCTTGCTTTCTGTGGATAAGGAGAGATATCAGCCCCACTCTTTCTCCACACCTTGCCCCAGTGTCAGCAGAACCTTCTGTCCATCTCTGTTTTTGTGTGTGTCACAGTATCTTGGAGGTGAAGATGAGTTGCCCACATTTGTACATATCCACAGACGCAGGCTTTTTGCTTTCAAGGGCCTCAGCAAAACCGTTACCAATGGGCGATGCTTTGAGTAAGCTCAGAAATTAAGCCAAACATTAGTCAAGTCTAAGGGAGTAGAGAATTCTCAGGTCACACACCCTCAGACTGGTCATACTTAACAAGGCCTACTGTGGTGAAGGTGCACATTTGATTTTATTATGAATTGAAGTTCTGTTCAGAAATTCGTCTTTAGATGTCCCTAGTCACCACACTGTGCCCCCAGGGTCCATGTGTTGGAGATTTAGTACCCAGGTTCACTGTTGGCATTTGGAAGTGGGGGCCTTTGAGAGGTAATCCAGATGAGGTGTGGTCCTGAGGTTGGGACCCCTGAGATAGGATCAGCGGCTTTTTAAGGGGAAGACAGGCTTGAGCTGGCACATCTGCTCTGTCAAGAGATTATACCACATGATACCCTGCAGTATGGCCCTTCCATGGTGCTGTACCTTGCTAGTGGACATCCTGGCCTCCAGAACTGTGAAAGACAAATTTCTTTTCTTTAGAAATTACCCTGTCTAGGTGCTCAGTTATAGCAACAGAAAATGGATGGATACTGTTGTGGTTTGAATGTGAAATGTCCCCCATAGTCATAAGCCTTTGGACACTTGGTCTCCAGCTGGTGCCACTGTTTGGAAAGCTTGTGGAACCTTTAGGAGGTGGAGTCTCACTGAAGGAAATGGGTCACTATGGACAGGACTTGAGGTTTTATAACCTGGTCTCACTCCCTGTCACTCTCTGTTTCCTGACTGCAGATGTAAGATGACCAGCCAGCTCCTGCTGCTGTGCCTTTATTGCCTGCTGACACGTCCCCCAACCCCGGCCATGATGAACTGTCTCCTCACACTGTGAGCCAGAATAAACCCTTCCTCCCTTAAGTTGCTTCTTGTTAGCTATTTTGTCACAGTCATGAGAAAAATAATGCATAGACACACATGCCATCAGAGAGTCAGAAGGGATGGCAGAGGGAGGAAGTCTAGCCCATGCTTGACACACTATTGTCCTTAGCCTCATGGGATCACGGGAGCCTGGCAGACTCCATGTAGAACTTTGTTTACACCTTCCCTGCAAGCACACAAAGGCAGACGTTAAGTCATTCTGCAGGAAGGTGGCTTCCAGGCACACGTAAGCCAAGTCAGTACATCCCAGCCACTCTCCTTGCTCATCCACGTGTTATTTCTGTCCCCGAGTGCTGAGAGCAGAGTAATTTCACTAACTGGCTGCCTGCTTACAGTGCACTGGTGAGCCTCCTTTCTTCCTTTCCTTTAATTGTCACAGCACTTTCTCATCTGCACAGTTTCTGTGGCCGGGGGTCAGTCTTGCTGGCTGTCAGAGCATGTTCTAGAAGCAGCCAACCTCCTTGTTCTTTCTCTTCCTTCATCTCAGGTGTCACATGCTAATCACAACTTTGGATGTTTTGAAACTGCAGGGTGAGTGGGACTGTTCCATGTCACCTGGTACCCGAGGCCAGGTCTTTGGGGTCACTGCATCCCTGGACCCAGAAAACTAGAATGACGTAAATAGAATTTGGAAACAGAGCCTAAAAGTCATCCATGGTGAAAAACACACCGATGAAAACAAAGAGCCAAACGAATCCAGAGGTCCTGATGTCCTGCTGTCTGTCTTCTGGGATGGGCTCGCAGTAAGGGTGAGCCCTAGCTTTACCTAACCAGTCTTCTACGTGTTCCTTAGGAGGGTAACTCTTCCCATGGGCTGAGGGAGATGGAAACTCTAAAAGTCAGTTCATCGGAATGCATTTCCTATGATTGCTTGGTGATCCAAGGCAGCCAGTGACAGGCATCCAGGCTGTTAGTTAACCACGTCGTAATAGTAATTGCGCAGCCGCAGCTCCACTGCTGTGAATCCCGGTCTGTTTTCCACCCTGAAGAAGAAAGAGGTTTTAATCTTTGTCAGTGTTCTTGAGAAAACATACTCAAGTTGCTGCGTGCCGGTGAATGCTGGGTCCCTGTGCCCCAGCTTTTGCTTGGCCAGAATTTTTTGAGAAATTAGTCTTTTCCTACTCCAAATCTATAGACCTGAAGCCGGGATTTTACAGGATGCCCAGGGGATTCATGTCCTGTGTGAGCTGGAGGAGTTTTACACTAGGGTCCAGATGTCTCACTCTAGTGCAGGGGCTGTCCCCTTGGGTTTCACTAAATCTGGTGTCTGAAACATTTAGACGGTCCCTATGCTGAAGATCCACCCAGTCTTTGACTCATGATCTCCTTTGTGTGTGTGTATGTGTGCGTGTGTGTGTGTGTGTGTGTGTGTGTTCATATGTGTGGAGGACAGATGATAACCTTGGTGTTGTCTCTCTTTTTTTAATTAAAAAATTATTTATTTTTGCCAGGCTTGGTGATACATGCCTTTAATCCTAGCACTCAAGAGGCAGAGGCAGGCAGATCTCTGTGAGATTGAGGCCAGCCTGGTCTACATAGTGAGTTCCAGACTATCTGGGGATTCAGCTGTCTCAAAAAACCAACAAACAAATTTATTTCTCTTTATTTTATGTGTATGAATGTTCTGCCTGCATATGTGTACCCATGTTATGAAATGCCTGTGGAGGCCAGAAGAGGGTATCCCCTGGGACTGGAGTTATGGACAGTTGTTAGTTGCCATGTGGGTGCTGGGAATGGAACTTGGTTCCTCTGCAAGAGCAGCCAGTGCTCTTAACCACTGAGCCATCTCTCTAGTCCCATGTTCCTTTTAATTTTTTTGAGACAGAGTCTCTCATTGGTCTGAAACTTGCTAAGTAGGCTACGCTGGCAGCCAGCCAGTCTTTGAGATCCCCTGTCTCTGCTTCCTCTTGTCTCTGTCTCCTTGGTGATGGAATTATAAACACTTGCCTTGCATTGTACATGGGTTCTGGGGGTTGAACTCACATGACGAATACTTTACCAAGTGAGCCATCACTCCAGTCTCTTGACTCACAATCTTAAGAGAAAAAGTATGGATATAACCTTAATACTCCCTCCCAATCTCCAAGTGGTGGCTTGAATTTTCAGAAAGAGGGCTGTTGATATGGGTTCTTGCTCAACTCAAAGCCTGCTGTGCCCATTATAAATCAGTGCATAGCAGGTCTGTGCTGTTGGCAAGTGAGGTGCTGCTGTGAGCAAATGAACGGTGAAGATTTTAACAGCTGGTGATGTCTAAGCAAGCAGGTACACACATGTCAACTGGAAAAGAGCACAGGCTCCTCTGTACTCATGAGAGCTGTTTCAGATCCTTGAGGATACCAGTACCCTCTGATGATCAAGTTCCCTCTATAAAATGGCTCAGGGATGGGGAGATGGCTTGAAGTGGTGGGTGAAGTGCTTGCTGGGAAGTGTGAGGACCTGCGTGTGGATGGAGAGGCCCTGCAAGGTGACACAGTGGGTGGAGGTGCTTGCTGTCAAGCCTGATGATCTGGGGTCATCCATCCTGAGGACCAATATGGTAGAAGGAGAGAGCAGACTGCTGCAAGTTGTCCTCTGACTCCACATGTGGATTGGACCACATGCACACACGTGCATACACACACACAAACAAATGTAATTAAACATTTTTTTGTAAAGGTGGAGAGGGGCTGGAGAGATGGCTCAGCAGTTAAGAGCATTGACTGCTCTTGCAAAAGACCTGGGTTTGGCTCCCAGCACCCACATGGTGGCTAACGACAGTCTGTAACTTCATTTGCAGGAATCTGACACCCCTCTTCTGGCCTCTGCAGGTCTTGCATGCCCTTGGTGTATGTATCTATATAGATGTAGGCAAAACACTGATACACACAAAATAAAATAAAAAAACTAAAAAGGAGGAAAGTGGTACGGGAATACACTTGAAGTTGGTCTCTGGCCTTCACATTGTAATGACTAGAGCAACTCCATTTTGTACAGAGTAGCTGCCTTGGACTTTAAAAATCAGAGAAGCAGCCAGCTCAAGGTCAGGTCTGAACTTAGTTACTTTCTCTTAGAAGAATGTTATTTTCAGACACTGCAGCTATGCTTCTTGCCAAAGGAACTAACCAAAACAATATCCTGTCTTGGTAAAATGCTGAAATAATAATAATCAGAAAGCTCCTTACTGTCAAGGTCTCTATACATCTGTTAAGAAAATGACTAACAACTGCTTGCTTTCGCTTCTGTAAACTTGCTTATTGCTGCATTTAAGGGTCAATGTGACCCCAATTTCCTTGCAACTGCTTGTAGTTTCTGCCTTTAAAAAAGCTTCCCCTCCCCTCCCAGCCTCACTGCAGTCCCTCATCTGGCCTCTGGAGACTGTCAGTCTAGCTGCAGCAGAATAAATTTGGCTAATTAAAATCCAAACCGGGTCCCATGGCCTTTTCCCAGTGGTCTCGAACTCCTTAACAACACGTGCACTCACAGGTGAGTATACTTGTACGCACACACACCCACACATGACTTAGTTTTTGTACATTCTTTTGATATTCTAAATTGCCTCTAGGTTTCTTCAGTACTTAACATAGGTGAGTTCCATGGGAATACTCCTTAGACTTTACAGGGAATGACAGTAAGAAAAACCTGAACATGTTCACATCAGATGCAAATTTAACACATAATCATGAACTTGCTGATGCAAAGACAGGAGGATCTGAGGACCAAATGTCTTCCTAAAAGCACCAAGAATTCAGAACAATTATTTTTGCTAGATTTTTGGCTGTGATGGAAACAGTGGACACAATTTTCAGTATGTGAAGCAGAACTTGGGGTTGAACTATTCTAACTATCCCCGTTCTGCCCCATCACAACTTTAGTTCCAAGGCATTCTCAGCAAGCACAAACACAGAAGGTGCTGAGGACCAGAACGACATGGAGCAGAGTTCTGTAGAACCACACAGGTGGATGGCACTCAACAGATGGTCTCATCCTCAGCTCCCTAACAGCATCTCCCCAGTGCCGAGTGCCCCAAGAGGTTTCAGGCTTCTGCCCCACCCTAACAGTCTTTACAGAGCATGCCCAGGGCCTCCAGGTACTCCTCACGGCTCTCACAGTGACATGGTGTCCTGCTGCAGGCATGTTAGGGCAGCTTAGTGGGAAAAGAAAGTACACTGCATCTAAGGACAGGGATAGAGCTTCCAAGCCTATGGGTTGAGCAGCCTGTGAATGTGGTGCATGGCCACCCTGCACCGCTATCTAGGGACCTCTGGCTCTGCCTGTCTTTAGTCAACAGGAGCCCCTACCCTAGATGTGAGGCCTTGTGGAATCAAAGCTGCATTCAGCCATGCCTGAGCATATCAAAGGCAGGGAATGTTCTAGAAGCTGGAGATCCACTAGGGATTCTGTGGTCCCCCCAGTCTGCATCATGTTCTCATAAGATCCTATCAGCTGGTGATTCTACAGTGAGCATCCTTTGCATGAATACATTCTGTGATGCTCTAACTGCTGCAAAATCACCTAGCATATTATAGAGACCCTGCTACTAAGAGCCATCACTGGATCTTAAAGTGGTCAATCTCTGGCCAACCTCCTGCTACTGTTTATGTAGAAGGCAACATATTCCTGATACAGGAAGCAAGTTCATACTTAATTTTAATGCCTGGCTGTTATGGTTAGTTTTAATTGTCAACTTGACACAATCTATAATCACTTGGAAAGTCTCAGTGAGGGATTGCCTAGATCAGGGTGGCTTGTGAATATGCCTGTGAGGGACTGCCTTAATTAAATGAATCGAAGGAGGAATCCCAGCCCACTGTGGGTGGCACCATCCCCTGAGCTGGGGATCCTGGACTGTCTGAGTGTGCAGAGAGCAAGCTGAGCACTAGAAGTATGCATGCATCCGTTCCTCTCTGCCCTTGGTTGCATATGATGTGCCTAGCTGTGGGAAGTTCCTGCTCCTTTGTCTTCCCTGCAATGATAGACTGAAATGACCCCTCTCTACCTGCTGGTTTATTTTGTCAGGGTCTTTCATCACAGCAACAGAAATGAAACCAGGACAGCAGCCACTCCACCTTCCTTCAACACTTTGGGTGACTGGTAGACAGGGTCGGGTACTCACTCGTATGTCCAGCACAGGTTCATCAGCTCATACATCTCTCTTGGGCACCCTTGGGGGCACCCCATCCGCTCTCCTTTCTCCAGCATGGCAGTAACCTCGCTCCCTTTCATCCCCTGAGAAAACACACAGAAGCCTTTAAAACATAGTGCTAACAAACAAAAGCACCTCATCTCCAGACACAAACAGACGGACACAGACAGGCTGTGTGATTTCAATGACGTCAATTACAAGGCCAGGAGCACCTCATGAGGAATGCTGGGAGTCAGATCGGGCTGCCCAGTGTGAAGAGATGGGCATGCAGAGGAAATGGAGCTTTGGTGTCTCATTCTGGTTCCCCATTTGGGCCTAGCTTTGTGGAAAGCTTCACTTGGGACATCACATTGAGTAGTTCCCTAGGATCTGTGTATGTCTGGGTATATATGTTTTGAATAAAAAATACAGAAACTGCTGGGAGTGGTTGCACATGCCTTTAATCCAAGCACTTGGGAGGCAGAGGCAGGTGGATCTCTGTGAGTTCGAGGCCAGCCTGGTCTACATAGTGAGTTCCAGGCCAGCTAGTGCTACAGGGAAACTGTCTCAAAAAGACCAAAAAAAAAAAAAAAAAAAGAAACCGAGCTAGGGAGCTCAGTCTGAAAAAAGCTTATGTTGCAGGCATGAGGACCTGAGCTCAATCCCCAGAGCCAGGAGTGGTGGTGCATGCCTGTAATCCCAGCTCTGTGGGTATAGACATAGGTAAATCCCTGGGGCTCACTGAGCAGCCAGCTTAGCCAACTGGGCAGACTCTAGGCTAATAAAGAGGCTTTATCTCAAAAAGCAAGGTGAACCTGAGGATGACTTCTGGCCTCTACATGCATGTGTGCACACACAGGAGAACACACACACACACACACACACACACACACACACACATACACCCAGAGGTAACAGCTAAAAAACTTAATACTGTTGATGTCATCATTTCTATTTCAGCGTTCAGGAAGACTGGTCTGCAGATGTACTTTGTGGGTATCTATATGTGTAATACACAATGAAAATACATTCCTTCAGCATCAAATGTAATTTTCCAGTTTAGTGTAGGCTTAGGTTGTGCTAGCTGCCCACAATCAGAGGATGAGGACAGCACCCCAGATTCTGTGGTTCCAAGTTCCAATGATGATAACCCATGCTGACTGGTGTTCTCTAAAGGCCACTTGGTAAGACAGGAAGCACACAGCTAAGAATGGCTCACTCGATAGGGCTTCTGCCCATAGGAGAACGCCTCCCACATCAGAACTCCGAAGCTCCACACGTCGCTCTTACTGGAGAACTTGTAGTAGTTGATGCATTCAGGGGCGTACCACTTCACGGGCCACTTCCCGTGGGTCTGGGCCTGAAAGCAAAGCAGATGGACACATTCTGTGAAGAATTAAGTCATGTGTACTCACACCAATCTGTGGAGGAATTGGGTTTGAGGAATGGAGCAGAGAAAACACTACTGAAACTCAGTGTCAACAAATGAAAAGACCTCAGAAAAATCCCTTGGGAATTAAGCTATTCCGGGGCTGGGGAGGGGATGCAGTTGGTAGAGGGCTTGCCTAGCAAGCATGAAATCCTGAGTTTAAGTCCTAGAACTGTATAAATCAGGTGTGATGACGTATACCTGTAATCCCAGGAAAGGCGAGTTAGACACCAGCTATGGAAAATAAAACAACTTGTCCAATTTATATTTCCTAAAGTAATTAACAAAAGAATGCTATCCTTCCTACAAAACTCAAGGGCTGGTGAGATACGTCAGCAGGTAAAGGTGCCTGCTGCTGAGTCTGAAGATCTGAGTTTGATCCCAGGGATCTACATGGTGGAAGGAGAAAACCAATTCCTGCAAGTTATCCTCAGACCTCCATGCTTATCCTATGGCACGCACACACACACACACACACACACACACACACACACACACACGATATGAGCACACACCCATGTGCATGCACCAAAAATACATTTTAAAAAATCAAATTCAAAAACATAATGTGGAAGCCACTAGTATGAACAAATCTCCAATCTCAAGGTAAGATACATTATATTCCCAATTTTTATTTCTTAACCAACAGAATCAGTGTTCAATAAGAACATTTCTTCTGGTTACTAGTGAGATTTCTACCATAACAAAACTGAGAGAGCACAATTTACCCTTCCATGTTTCTGCACCCTGCTGTTCTGAGCTGTGCTGGGCTGTCCCGTAGCCTCTGCCAGGAGCCTGCCCTTAGCTGTCCTACCTTGTAGTAGTTTTCATCAGCACGAAGAGCTTTGGAAAGACCAAAATCACTGATCTTGGCATAATGCTGAGTGACCAGCAGCACGTTCCTCGCAGCCAGATCTCTGTGCACAAAGTTGCACTCCTCCAAATACTTCATCCCCATGGAAACCTGGTGGACCAGTTCTATGATGTTCTTATCCTTGACGTGCCTGAGAATCACAGGGCCTCATTAATGAGAGTGGATGGTGTCCACTTTAGAACAGCCACATTCCCCATTCACACGGAAGATGGGCATTCACTCTTTCTTCTTTTTAAAAAATATTGTATTTATTTTATTTTATGTGTGTGAATGTATTGCCTGCATGTGTGTGAGTACACCCACGCTGTGCAATGCCTGTGGTCAGAAGAGGGCATCAGATCCCCTGGAACTGGAGTCTGATCGGTTGTTAGCTGCCATATGGGTGCTGGGAATTGAACCCAGGTCCTCTGCAAGAGCAGTCAGTGCTCCTAACTACTGAGCCGTATCTCCAGCCCCTCATTCCCTCTTCTTAAACAATGGGACAGGGGCTGGAGAGATGGCTCAATGGGCAAGAGCATTTGCTGCACAAGCATCGGAACCTAAGTTTTGATATCCTATGGACCCACAAGAAAAAGCTGCATGTGGCCACATGCACCTGCAACCCCAGGGCTGGTGGTGGGTGAAGACAGGAGACTGCTGGGGCTTGCTGGGCACCAGCTAAGCTGAAAAACAACAAGCTCTAGGCTTAATGAGAGACCCTGTCTTAAGGGAAAAAGCAGGGAGTGACAGAGAAGGGCACTTGATGTCTTCTTTTGACCTCTGCATGTACTTGCACACATGTGTATACACATATATACCACATATATAAAACAAACAGAAGTCATGAGTGTGGTATATTCCAGACTGAATACCATTCTCCTGCTGTTCAACGGGGCTCATTTTCAGGCATACTTTGAGTTGCACGAAAAGTCATTTAGGTTGCAAAGATAGCTCAATTGGAATAGCGCTTGCCTTGCAAGCATGAGGACATGAGTTCGATGCCCAGAGCCCATGTGAAAATAAAGCTGAGTGGGCAGATGCCCGGGGCTTGCTGGTCAGCCAGCCTAGCCTAACTGGTGAGCTCCAGGCCCATGAGAGACCCTGTTTCGAAGGAAGTGAACGGTGTTCTAGGGGATGACCGTTGAGGTTCACCTTTGGCCTCTACATATGCACTTGCATAAACATTCACACCTGCATATTTAGAAAAAGAAAGAAAAGCTGTGTAAAATAAGGAGTGGTCAGCTTTGGCTCAGGGGCAGTCAGGGATTACTTTGAATACCTGTTCCAATGTTGGACTGCTTCCAAAACCAACTCTGTATTTCCATATTCTTATCTGTAAAGGAGGGGTCACAATACCTTGTTTCTATGGAGACACAGCAGCAACAACTAGGTAAAGTACAAACTATGCAGCAGTGGGATGAGCCGGTCAGCTGCATTTGTCTTATTCCAGTTGAGTTTCTCTATGTTGGCAACAGTTTTAAAGGAGCCTCTACGCCACTGATGAGCATAATCATCATTATGAATTCTGTGCAGCAGCCCATTCCTTCAGAAACAATTGCTCAAGGGCTAAGCAAGCCTTAGAGGTCAACCTGACAATGGAAGACATAACTGGCACCCCTTAGAAAATGTTTATTCATGCCATCTCTTTAAAAAAATATTATACTTGGACAGAGGCAATGCTCTGTCCACACACACTGAGGCTGATTCTGTCACTGGACAGCTGAAGTGAGTCAAGGGGAAAAATGAGGACCAGATGTCAGATTACGTTTTTTTTTTTTTTTTTTTTCTCTGACAGGGCTAAGGAGATGGCTCAGTTGATAAAGTGCTTGGATTGCAAGCATGAGGACCTGAGTCAGGATTCCCAGCACCCGTGTAAAACCCAGGTGTAGTGGTAAGTGCCTGTAACCTAGCTGAACTGAAGAACTCCTGGTTTAGTGAGAGAGGCTTCTCAAAAAATAAGGTGGAGGGGCTGGAGAGATGACTCAGAAGTCAAAAGTGTATGCGGCTCATCCAGAGGATCTGAGTTCACTCACTAGCACCCATATCAGGTGGCTTACAGTCATCTGTAACTCCAGCTCCAGGGGCTCTGATGCCCTCTTCTAGCCACCACAGACACCTGCACACACGTGGCACACACATTCACACAGACATATGCACATAAATGAAAATAGGTGGAAAGTGATAGAGGATGTCACCCAATATTGACCCCTGACCTATACACACATGCACACACACAGGTGCAGCCCCACAAATGCACATCCACAGGAACAAGTACACACACACACATACACACACACACACACACACACACACACACACACATGGCTATTCTCTGAGCAACAAGAGCTAAAGGGCAGGATCTGAAGGCTGCATCTCCCTCCACTCCTCTCTCAAGGTCCCTGAGTATGGAGTAACATGGGAAGGTAGGAAGGACAGCGAGCAGGCTTCCCATAGACCACAGGTTCCCTCAGAGTCTGAGGAGGGCTATGCACAGCTCCCATGTGCTTTGGCGCCACTTACTTGTTCTGTTGCAGGTACTTGTTGAGGGGTCCGAGCTCTGCCATCTCCATCACCAGCATCCAAGACTCGGCCTCGCAGATCCCAATCATGCGCACGATGTAGGGGTTGTCCAGCTGCTGCATGACGTTCGCCTCTGCCAGCAGCTCGTCCTTCAGAGCAGGGTCATTGGTCTCATTCTTCAGGATCTTCACCGCCACTGTTTTCACCACTCTACAACACAGGTTGGAACAGTGAGATTTTTTCTAAAATGCCTCACGCCTAGAAGACCCTTCTGTGAGGCATGACCCCTAGGCAGGGGAGCACCAGCGGACATGCCTGCTGCAAGACAGGAATGAGTCTTACAAAGGCACAGGGAAAACAGCTACAGGCTGGGGAGATGTAAAGTGTGTAAAGGGCTTGCCATGCAAGAGTGAGTACTTGAGTTCAGATCCCCAGAACCCACATAAAGCTGAACGTGGTAGTGTGTGCCTATAATCCCAGCACTTCTAGCTAGATGCGAGGGAGACTTGCGGGCCAGCTAGCTTGGTGTATGCAGTGGTAAACCACAAAAGATCCCTGTCTCAAACAAGATGAAGGTGAAGACTGGCGCCTAAGGTTGGCTTTTGACATCTACACTTGTGCTGTGGCACAGGCCCCTGCGCGCGCGTGCACACACACACACACACACACACACACACACACACACACACACACGAGAGAGAGAGAGAGAGAGAGAGAGAGAGAGAGAGAGAGAGATCCTCTGAACATGCAGCTGTCACTTTCATCAGATCAGCTGTGCCTGCTTGCAAGACACCCTCAAGATCCAGCCTGCTGACTGTTGGCGTTTCCTCATAGAAGGAGGGGGTGGGGATGGTCTTGGATCCTCCCCTGAGATTCCAGCCACTCCCTCTTACAGTGTATGCTGTTCTCTCCTAATTGCACAAAGCCTCATGTGTATAGTTTGGGGATGGGCTAGAAGGTATGGATTGTGGAAGGTTAACAGAAGTGGAGGGTACGGGGAAGACTAGCCAGCTATGGGGAAGTCATCATCCATACTGAGCCCAGGCTTTTGAGGGGTGTGGTTCCTGTCAGTAACTCCTCACCTATGTTCTGAAGTAAGTTCAATAAACTCATTGGTTCCCCAAGCTGAACCAATGGCAGAGTTGGACTTTGGGTTGTCCTCGTTCCTCTATAAGGATGGGCAGACGTTTGTTTTTTTTTTTTTACATCTCCTCGAGGAGTCTGTTCTAATCTGTTATTTTACAGACAAAGAAGCAATGTCCCACTGCTTCTAAAGAAGGGCAGTAGACAGTGCCCAAGAATTCTCCAGGCCAAGGAAAGTTTACATACAATTCACCAACTATGACATACATGTAGATTCCTATAATGTCTTGTGATTTATCAGCTAAGTTATATCTATGAATATAAAATTCCTTCATGGTATTAAAGTGGATTTCTGAGTACAGAATTAAAAAGCACACACTATCCACCTTTTTGAGACAGGGTTTTATGTAGTCCACACTGGCTTGAAACTTGCTGTGTAGTGAAGGATGACCTTGAACTTCTGAGCCTCCTGCCTCCATCTCTGGAGAGCAGGGATTATAGGTGCACACCATCATGCCCAGCTTAAAAAGCATACATTGTTAAAGCTCATAAAGAAACACTTTTCTCTCATTGAACTTGGTCAACTTTAAGCAAGCCTCAGTAAGTTTCAAAAATAGATTTTTCTTTATCCTAAAAATATCACCTGGATCATACTGAACTCTTGAAAATAGTCCAACAAAGTGAGGTTTAAATGAAAGAACAGAAGTTAACTGTGTATGATTTGATAAACTACATCTGTGATAAAAATTCACACAAAAATGAGAAGTTGCCTCTTTTGCTGAACCTTCAAAGTGGAAAATAAAAATAGAACTAGTCAGTAAAGAATCAGCAAGACGGCTCAGCAGCAAAGGTGCGTGCCGCCAAGCCTGATGATCTGAGTTTGCTCCCCAGTACCCACATGGTAGAAGGAGAGAACTCATTCCCACAACTTATCCTCTGACCACATGTTCACAAGTGCACACACACATACACAGAACTAGTCAGCAAATAGGCCAAATTAAAAAAAAAATCATAGAATAAGTCTGACAGGAACACTGGAAAGCGCACACAACTTCAGTGAATGTCAGAGTGAACTGAATACCATCAGCACCCTGGGGCCTCTCTTGGTCCTCCTGGGAACACACGGGCCTCCTCTCTGTCCTCTCGAGCCACTTGGGTGCTTGACTTTCTTATTTGGTCTAACATCACATCTTTGGTGTGAAATAGGGATCCAAATCAAGAAGTTAAACATCTCTTGATTCTTCCAAGTGTTTAAGAAAGCAATAACACACAGTCTCTTCCAGAAAAATGATAAGGCAATCATCTCTGTGGCTAGCATTATTTCTATGTCAGAACATTTGTTTATAGTGCCCCAGGAAAAAGAGTTCCTACAGCAGCTAGTCTTCTAGTCCTACTGTTCTTTTACAGACAGAGGAGCAATACACTATTATAAGAACGATACCCTTCATGAACATGTGAAAATTCTAAGATAAATACTAAAAGATTGCAATAAATGATTTATGAAAAAAGAGGCGATGGATGAATGACGGAGGAGGGGAGTTTATTCCAAGAATGGGGGACATGTTTATCATCTGTGACTCATCACAGGAGCACAAGCAAAGGAAAGAACAACATGATAAGCTCAATGGATCGGGAAACAGTCTTCAACACAATTCAACATAGGGCCGTGACTACACACCTCCCAGAAGTGTAGAAACAAAAGACTCCCCCTTAGTCTATTAGACAGCAGTCATGAATACACAGTTACATCATACCCAAGGAGTGGGTTGGAATCTCTCCCCCTGAAACCAGGCATGAGGCTCCTGCCAATTGTCAAACACTGATGTACAGTTCCTACATAATAAGGCAGGGAAAAATACCCACAAGAATAAGGATGGTACAGTATGAAAACACTGTTGTTACTGGGCTGAGGAGACAACTCAGACTGTAAAGCACTTGCTATGCACGCATGAGGACCAGGATTCAACACTCATGTAAAAAGCCAGGTGTGCTAGTATGCACTTGTAATCCCCAGTGCTAGGATATTAGGGAGGCAGAGACAAGTGGACCCTTGTGGCTCTCTGACCAGCTACCCTAACCTAATTGGTGAGCTCCAGTCCCAGTGAGAGACCCTGCCTCAAAAAAAGAAAAAATAAAGAAAATACAAGGTGGAAGTCAGGCATTGTGACTCATACCTTTAATTCCAGATCTCAGGAAGCAGAGGTAGGTGTGAGTTCGAGGTTGGTCTGGTCTACAGTACCAGTCCTAGGCCAGCCAGGGCTACATAGTGAGACCCTGTATCAAACAAACAAACAAACAAACAAACAAACAAAGGTGGATGGGTCCTGAGGAATGATACCTGAGGTTGATTTTTGGCTTCTACATGCACACACACACACACACACACACACACACACACACACACGTGAACACACACTTCTACACATATGCATTCACACTCACATACATATGCACACATACGTAAGCCTGTCATTGTTCATAAATGACCCATTTCTGTATCAAAGAATACCTAGATGCAGGTGCAGGTCATAAGAGCATTCAGCAATGCTGATAGTTCTCAACCACACATCAAATCAGTTGTAGTTCATACACAAGGTACTGAAGTTCAAGAAAGAAAAATGTTTGCTCTGCTTCCCTGGGCTGCTTGGCCCACCAGCCTCTTTCCTGGACACAGGGGCTGACCTTTTGGCCAGGGGCCACCACTGCTTCCTGATCCCTTGCATAGAGATGGACCCAGTTCCTTCTCAAGGTCCCTGGGAGCCCTCTGGGCCTGGTCCTGTCCTCACCTCCCTCTGCTTCCCTGGGCCTGCACTACGCACTTGCCTCTCTCCTGGGGATCCAGACCTTAGGAGAAAGCCTGAGAGCATCTGATCCTCATCTGACTTGGGCCTCTGTGGGAACTCCTGAAGACAAAAGCAATCTGGCCACTCCAATATAAATCAAAAGAGAGAACCAGAAGCTTAGAGGAACTAGCTTTTCATGCCCAAAAAGTTAACCACAAAGGCACATAAAGTTTACAAAACGAAGCAGACCCAAGCTTGAAGGCTTGAGTCTCACACAAGAACCAGAAACTACAAAAGAAATTCACATGTCAAAATCACAGAGAAAAAATAATAACATGAAAAACCAAAATAACATATCCCTACCAAATACCAATAGTCCTCTAGAGGAGTACAATGAGAACCCTAGATATAATGCAAGACATGGAACTCAAAAGAACAATTATGAACATGATAAGAGAATTCAGTGAATTTAAAGAATATACCAAAAAAATCAAAGAATTGCAGGAAGATAGGGATAAACTTCTGAATGAATTCAGATCAGTTAGAAATATTGAAGAATACTCAGGCTGAAATGAAGAAGGAAGTGAAACACTCAGTAAGCCAATTAGAAATGCAGAGTATCAAGACTGGAATATAAAGTGGAGGAACTAGACCACTCAAGCAAAGATTATGAAAAATTTAAGAAATCACAAGAACAGAATATGCAGGAACTGTGTGACTCCATAGAAAGACCAAACTTACGAATCACAGGAAGGAAAAGAATCCAAAGATAATGGCATGGAACAGATCTTCAACAGAATCGTGGAAGAAAATTTCCCAAAATTAAAGAAAGACATGCCCATACCAATATAAGAAGCATATAGGAAAACAGACAGGACCAGAAAAGAAACTCTCCATAGCACATCATAGTAAAACATAAAGAACATATCATAGTAAACGTACAGAACAAAGAGACAATACTGAAAGCTGCAAAAGAGAAACAAGTCACATATAAAGGAAAACCCATTAGGATTACAGCTGACTTGTCAGTGCAAACTATGAAAGCCAGAAGAGCCTGGACCAAAGTATTCCCAGCTTTAAATGACCACAGATGCCAATCCAGATTACTATACCCACCTAAAATGTCTATTATAGTCAAAGGGGAAAGAAAAATATTCCATTACATAAATAGGCTGAAGGAATTCATGTCCACAAAACCAGACCTTCAGAGAGTTCTGGAAGCAATACAAAGAGCTGAAGAAAGGAATGACTATACCCAAGGGATTGTGGAAATTCAATGAAGATATAACTGTGGAAAAGTACAGCTATATCAAGAATGTAAACAGAAATAAAAATGACAATACA